GATAAGTAATATTTAATTAACCATTGAGAGGCGAGAATTGAAATGGGAGAGGAGAAAGGGATTGGAGTTTTTCGGTGTATTAAAATTTCGCACGAACGAAACTTTTTTCACTCCGATTCTTGAGCGAATTCGATTGAATTTCTTTCAAGTTAAAATTTGAGAGGGAGTAATTCGAAATAATCGAACTCTCGCGAATAATATTTATTCGAAATACTCTGATGATCGTGGATACTCTTTGAAATTCTGATCGACTGAAATTTTGTTTTCCGATTGAGTCTTGATATAATATTATTGATAATTGAGATTGCGAGAGGAAAAGAAAAGAAAACGTAAGCGACGTACTCGCGTTGGTATTCCAAGTTCGTGGGAGAAACAAGATCGTATCGGATCGGTGTAAAACGGTTCTGACCCATTCCAGCTACTTAAGAGATTGACACGAGAAGATAGTATAATGGACGAGGCGGTCGAGGAATCGTAACCTCCTCCTGAATCGAGCATCGGCTCTAATGGGCCAACACTGATCGTTGATAAATTTCAAAATGCCACGGGCCACCTTTGACGGGACTCCGGGAATCCATGGAGAAAGAGAGAGATCAGTAAAAATCGCATTAATGTATTTGTTCACACTGTTACGGATGTATACGACGACGTAGACATCTTTTTCTTCGCGAATATCAGCCTTCGAGTATTTTGAATTAAATTAATTAAGCAAAGTTTAAAGCAGTGATTTCAAGATTTCAAACATATTTTCTTGAACAATTTAAGGATGGAAAAAAGCTTATGCTTTCAATTAACGGAAAATTACGTAGAAACGTGTGGTGAAAATCGAAAGCAAACGAAATCGATTCGAAAGTAAACGGAGCGATCTATAACTAAAAGTGAAACTTTGCTCGAAATAGCGGTATCAATTTTGATTTCGAAATTAGACAGGGAAAACTTTCGATCCGCGACGCGATGTCGCCCTTAATCCGCTAAAATTCCAGCCACTTGAAACGGTGTATAACGGGTGCTCTCGATATAACGGCTGAACGGTGCGGTAACACCGCAGTCGAAGGCGGCGACTCGCTGCACCTGCACCTCGCAGAATTTAATCACGATGGTTACTCTGTCTGGCCGAAACCAATTATTGCGCAGACGTACCAACACACACGAGCTTACACCGCCTAGTTACGCGGACCTTCTCTACGCACCTATATAAATCTCTCCGTATCTCCTCCCTCCCCACTCCCTCCCCCTGTATGGATATAATGTAACCCGCATTAATTTCCCTCCGAACGCATGCGATTCCCGCGTTTGCCGCCCCCCAAAATGTCCGACCACCGACTCTGTCACTCCGTTACTAACTAGTAGACACACGTGATAATTCGTTTAACGTTCATCGACTTTGCGATTTTCCCCGATTCAATTCGTCGAATCGAAAATATCTCGGATTACGAGGCGATTATTCGAACGCCGTTTATCGAAGCGCAATTTTAATTAGCGGTCGATTGACCGAATTCGCTTCATTGAAACGTTAGATCACGTATTATTATTATTATTATTATCATCACGTATAGGCGAGAGAATCGTTGGATTTCCATCGTACTAATATTCCACGAATATTATTCGTGCATAGTTGGAAATAAGACCGTGCCTAAAAAGAGAAAGCGATTAATTAATTTTTTAAAATAATTTTTTAAAAATAAAATAAATTCGTAGAAATCGCGAAGATCCAAGTACATTCCATCTCTTAGCAACGTCATCATTTAACACCTCTATCTCCATCCTATCCCCTTTCATCGCTCTCCTCTCCACGACAAGTCTCACAAGTCCTAAAACAGAAGTTGCTCTCCTCCGTTTAGACCGGCTCTCCACGATTAGAGCCTGGAGGAAGAAGGGCGCGGTGTTCTGTCTGGTAGCATGGACGGAAGAAAGGGTGGGTGGGCGAAGGAGGTCCCGGGGGGCGAAGGAGGACGATGGTGTTGGCACTCTCGGGGGCCATTATTGATTGTTGTTGATAATTAGCCGGTACAGGCGCGTCAATCACGAGGCAAGGCGAGGTTATTAGGCTGTTGGTTAGCACCGGCCCGATGGCGCACGTATACACACTCACGCGCACACACTGCCATACCGATCCACGCCATCACGCGAGACGCGCGCGCGTGTGTAGGTTGCGCACAGGTGTCCGTGTAGCCGTGTGCACTAGCCCACCCGATTACCCCCCACAATTCGATCTAATGCGCTACGCTGCGATGCGAGAGAGGGTTAATTATGCAGTTAATGAGAGGCTGAATATATATACCCGACGGGGTGTCGGGATGGCCGTGGCGAAAAGAGGATCATTTGGACGGCCATACCATGGCTCGATTGTTGAATTTGGTTATGGTCGAAGAACGCCGGAAAACAGTCCTCCATTCCCTTCCCGTTTTAAATTAATCGCGTTAGAACGTTCGAGGTTGTGTTTAAACGCTGGCACAGCCGGGAAACCCCGGGTGCTTTTTGATTGTCCCGAAATTGATATGAAATCGGCGTATACGCGTTTTGTATGTACGCGCACAAAAGCGGATAGGTATAAATATGCATATGGAACGAGCATGGTGTACGAGAGTGTGGTGATCGTTGCACGGTAGCCGCGCCGCGTAGATGGCGTGATAGGTGTGATCGGACGAAAACGGAGTGGCCGCGGGAACACTCGTTCGAACGAGTTGGCGCGCTTCAATTTCTTCCTCATAACGTTCGTTTCGTATCGTAACGAAGTGGAGAAATGGCGATAGTTTGAAAAAAGAGGGTTATTAATCAGAAATATAACCAGTTATACGAGCAGCATTGCAAATACTTCGCACTTTGGAATTGAGAAGAGTTCACCTTTTTGGATTTTCATCGATGATTAAAACTTTACGCGGAATTGTATCGTAATAAAGTGGAGAAATAGCGATAATTTGACGAAAAGAAGAAGGTTATTAATCAGAAATGTAATCAGTTACATAAGCAGCATTGCAAATATTTCGCAATTGAGAAGGGTTCACCTTTTTGGATTTTCATCGATGATTAAAACTTTATACGGAATTGTATCGTAATAAATTGGAGAAATGGCAATAATTTGACGAAAAGAAGCGGATTATTAATCAGAAATGTAGCCAATTACACGAGAAACACCTTTTTGGATTTTCATCGATGATTAAAACTTTACGCGGAATTGTATAGGATTTATTCATCGATATTTCGAAAGTTGAGAACGCAACATTGCAACGTTGTTTTTTTCGCGTTCGATTCTTCTTCTTCTTCTTTTTTTTTTTTTTTGATCGAAATACAGCGGACAATTGTCAAAGAGCTTACAAAACAACGAAAATCTGGTTTTTCCCTTTTCACAGCTGGCCCCTCAATTTCCGCCGCGCTGCGTTGAACATCGCATCGAGCAAATTGCACCGAAGCGTTGATTTCTACGATAAATTGCCGGATTGTGCGTCACGGAATTTATCGACACGCGTATCCTCGTGTGTCTCTATGTCGAAGCACCGTTTTCGATTGCTCGATATATTCGATAATGAGCCTCGTAATCGACCAATTGTAACCTCCTTATAAAAATCGGTTTCGTCAAAATTGTATAGATTGTAATTTAACCGCGGATACGACTCTAAGTTAATACTCGTTATACATTAAAAATAACGTTTCTAACGAATACAATTATCGCGTTAAGTTCAGGTATCGTAACTCGTAAATTCTCTTTTTCTTTCCCTGGTTTCTCTTTTCACGTTGCAATATAATATACGTATTCGTATATATACAAACAGATAAACTTTTCATTATTTAACGCATCCTGTGTTGAAGATTGCGATCTCTATGTTGCAATTTTTATTCTGACATCCGGTAAACATGTGTATACGTGGCGCGTACTTACAATATTCGCGGAAATAACAATCTTTCCGTGCAAGGTGCGACGGATTCTCTTCTGGAAATCTTGTCTCGTCCGTTGAACCCTCGAATATCGAAAAGAAGAATAATCGTGCCGCTCCATCCGTTTCGGTTTCCACCGTTTCAACATTCGATTAGCGGCACTTTCGAACGGCGGACAGATTCGAAATTGCTCGTTTAGTAAACTCATTACGGCCTCGTAAATATTGGAACGGATAATTAATCAGTCGAGTAAGATTCGAGGAAATACAACAATTGCAATTTGCCGCACGCTCGCTTTGGATCCGTTACAGATATTGTAATCGTCCGTTAATAATTACAAATTCGTATTAATCAATAATCGGCTATAGGAGGAGTGTGGCGGTGAGATTAAATAATAACGAAGCGAAAAAGGGGGAATTGGTAAAGGGCCTCGAACGATTCGGCTCACGCGACTTTCCGCATGGTAATACGTTTTACGTGTATTCGTATAAAAACTTGACGTGTCATTAAATCGATAAAAAGTACGTGTATAAACGAACGATTATACCGTAAGGTAAATGATTAAATCAACCTTCAACTCCGACTGATTTTTTTTTTCAACAATAAACTAATTTTATAGCATAATCGTTTAGTCAGAAGAGTTTCGAATTTTTTTAAAAAATTTATACCCTCGTAAATTTACCTTCTATTCGATCAATCTCGTTGTTTCTTTCTTCTTCTATTCTTTCCTCGATACATTTCCATATCCGAATTTAAAACGAAGATTTCTAAATCGAAAAAATAATTTTACACGTAGAAATATAATTGTACGTGGATGTGAACAGAGTCAAATGAACTTTGAAAATTGTTCCATCTTGCACGATCCGTCTCGTAACATAAAAAAGAATCGCAATAAGGAGATAGCCTTAAAGCGAAATGAAATTGGTATAAATGGGAATGTCTGGAAGCTGGACGCGAACGCATCGATACCCGGAGGAGTGATGAGCGTTGCAACACTTGTTATAGGTAGCATTATACGCGTATAATAGAGGTAATAGCCGGGACTGGGATAAATCGATCACCATTACCGTACCTATTAACCGTAACGATCGTTTCCGAGGAGACCTGACCACTCCCGTGGGTTCCAGGTGAGAACAGCTGCAACTCCACCGGCGGTGGCAGCGACGAGGAACTCGGGGCAGGCTGCGGGGACGATTTGAACGGGAACAGCGGGAAGAAGAAGCATCGCCGAAACAGGACGACCTTCACCACCTACCAGCTGCACGAGCTCGAGAGAGCCTTCGAGAAGTCTCATTATCCGGACGTGTACTCCAGGGAGGAGCTCGCTATGAAAGTCAATCTTCCGGAAGTGCGCGTCCAGGTGAGTTGGAAAACGATTGATTAAACTCGTTTCGAATCAGACAGAAGATCGAGGCGTTTGTTTTCAAAGATGTTTCGAGTCAAAGATCAAACGAAAGGTTGGAGAGATGTTAGAAGGATTTTTCTTGATCGGTTAACTTTATATCTATGTGTATATGTGAAATTACGTGTTGTCGTTAAACCATATTAAATGGACGTATAATTTGGAGGGATAACGTAAACAGAAGAACTCGGTTTCGCGATCGAAGATCTCGGTCGATGGATTAGAAAGAATAATTGTCTGGGAATCGCGTTGTTAATCGGCCAAGAGAGATCGTTTTCTCGCGAGATAAAACGAAAAATATTCATACATTTTTAAATAATCACCTGAGCACGGAGTCACGCGACTAACGAGGTATTAACTCGTTAACCCTCACGACACCGGTGCGCGATCCTGTTACCTTAACGATTTCGCGAAAAAGGAAGGAGGGGGTGAATAAACGGAAAAGTGGAAAAATGGAAAGGTACGTGTCGTGGCCGTGCCATAACGTACGAACGATGTTTATTGAACAACCGGCATCTCTCGTTGCCTCGCTCTTCGAGCGAAAATCAAAGCCGAAAGGAAAGAAACAACGATTTGATCCAATGTTTCTCTCTCCACCTTCGCACCCTTTTGACAAAAATGCGTCGCTCGGAAAAAATTGGGAACGAAAAAACGGCTTCGAAAAAAGAAAAAAGGCAGAAACAAAAGATTTTATCGAAAAAGTTGAAGAAATTAAACGGGACGTAAGATGAGGGATGTAAAAATGAAAAACATAAGACGTTAATCCGAGAAAATTAGGGTTCTCGATTGACTTATATCGGGGAACTAACGATCGAGAATTTGCCGATTTATTATTCCCCTCCCTTCCTCTGTTTCATTGGAACGAAGCGGATACGAGTGTCGTGCGCGCGACCAGCGAGCGGGCCGAGTTTAATGGCAGCGTTTCCGTGCAAACAATCGGAACAGCAATCGCCGGCTGACGCTGGCCCCGACGTATTAAACTAAATTAAATTAATTATGTGCGTGACAGCGATAAAAGCACGCAGTCGCATGCGACGACGCATCGATTAGGCTCCCGGGGGCAAGCTTTCCGACCGTGCCACCTACGAAACCCCGTACACGAACACGTAGCGCGCAGTTTTGTTGGATAATAAGCTGCCAGCACGCCGCATTTCCAAACGCACCTGCTTCTTTCAATCGTTTCAATCGATCGGCATCGATTTTTCCCACGATTTTCGATCGATCGGCGATGATTTTCGTTTCGTTCCAAGAGACTTGAGAGAAAAAAATCGAAACAAGTACAAATTTTCGGCATTGATAACATTTCGATTCATTTTAACTTCTTTTCCTTTCGAAATGTTTTTAAGATCAGTTTAAATTTATCGTTATCGAATTATAATTATTATTGATGGACACGTATAAAAAGAGAAATTGTATATAAACAATCATCGAGAGTGGAATAAGTAGCGTCATCTCCATTTCAATCGACGGCGAAATCATCTTAAATTAACAGCGAGTAGCGAAACGAAGAGAAAAGAGATCCGAGGGAGGATGCGATGGTAGGTGCGGAGGGAACAAAGAATATGACAAGGATAACGCGATGACGGGAGCTTAGAAGAGAGAAAGAGTCGCAATTAAAAATTTAAATTGCGTTTAAAACTTGCCATGCACGCCACCATGCCACTTTTTTCAATTTTCTCCAAAAGAATTTCGCCGACCTTTCTCCTTCCATCCTTCTCCCTTCTCTCTCTCTCTCTCTCTCCCTTCTCTCTCTCTCTCTCTCTCTCTCTCTCCCTTCTCTCTCTCTCTCTCTCTCTCTCTCTCTTTCTCCATCCTCGCCGCCGCCCCTTTCGCTACTTCTCCCGAGCGGAAAGAGGAGGAAACGGAAGAGAAGAAGGAAGAAGGATGGAAGAAGGGAAATGCCAGCTCGCCCCCAAGGTACACCTAATCGCTTAAGCTTATTACGCGAGCAGACAAGGCGAAGGAATGAGCCGCGAGGCTGCGAGTCGAGGGGGGCGAAGGAGAAGGATGGGAGGATAGGAGGAAGGGAGAGGAACGGCGGTGGTTGCTCGCTGGTAGGCGCAACGAAGAGGCGGACGCACGTTCGGTTTCATCATTTTTAATTGATAGCGCACGCCAATCCTATCTGTCGGATTTATTAGGCCGCTCGACGAGATGGTTTTGCGGAGGAGTGGAAGGGGATGATAGCGAAGGGAAACGGAGCTTTTATTGGACAAACCGGGTTGTTTCGGTGGTAGGGGTCCGGTCGGTGGTCACCGTAGCCCGATTGTGTGACCCGGGAAAACGCGTTTTCCAGATTTTCATGCATCCTCTGCCTCGAGTATATGCATACACACACACACATAAGCGCAAATATACACACAAACGCGCGTCTATGGATATTATACGCGTCTATGCGTGTAGATACACGTACGCGCACAGGCAGATTGATTGCGGGGATTAACACTGTTTTCTCGCGATAATTATCGTCCTCGGAGTGCGGAGATTTTATTGGATATACAGCACCGCCTCGGCCGATATCGAAACGTCGAATTGCTTGTTAAGCTCGTTATTGTAATTCAGGTTTACGCATCGTTTTCAATGCACCGTGTTCGTTAATCGATTTGCGAAAGGAAAAGAATCGTCGAGGCTCGTTTGTGGAACGTTACGTTGTGGATTGTAATTACTTATATTCTTTAATATCTATGTTTCCGGTTCTTCGATCACATCTCGATTACCCTGTATCGAGTTCTCGAAACTTGGTTAATTTAAAAGAATGGATGCGTTAACGTTCGAAATCGAATCGAATCCTGCGAAAGAAAGAAAGAAGGGAATGAAAGAACGAAGGGAATGGAATACGAGGAATTTTCAAAAGAAAAAAGAATGAATTTTCAAATAGATGTTAGATGTGCAAATGAAAAAACGTGTACGGGAAATGAATGGATAAAAAATTCGATATCGAAATCGGAAGGCGAAAACGGCACTTCTCCCTTCGATCGAAACACACTTTCACAAATCGCCGCGTGATAATTTATCCTCTTTCGCGTACTTAACCAGGGAATAACGAAATTTCACCATAGTACCATTATACCATTAAGCGCATCGTCGACGCGCGTTTGCCGTCACGCGATCGTAAGTTCGTCTAAAAAAAAGAAACGTAGTATAACGCGACGATTTGCTGAGAACTGAAATCGATATAAGGGCGAGCTTGAAACCACTCGTCGAAATTAACTTTGTAGCAAAACACCTGCTGATCCGTGTACAATCACGGAGGATAAGCGAATATTTTAACTTAAAAAGCGCAATTCGCGTAGTGTAAACGTTCCGTGTCACATGTCTTCGTTCGTTCAACTAGTGAGTATCATCGAAGACAAATTATACCGAGATGAAGTTAGGGGAAGTAAAAAGGATCTATCCACGGAAATTCATTATCTAAGAAAACGTTGCGCGCGAGGAAATCGCGACGAGGCAGAGCTGTGACATTTCGCCGCGGGGAACTCGAATCGATGGCCGGCCGTATTTTCACGAAGCGAGCAAACAGAGAGAGAGAAAGAATGGAATCGACAATCGTCGTGGAAAAGGCACGAAGAGACGGGCGGAAAAAAGCGGGCAGATTGATTTTTCGCGGTAGGCCAACTAATTTGGAGAGAGAGAGAGAGAGGGAGGGAGCAAAAAAGAGAGAAAGAATTCACCGCGGCCGAATGGTCGATCGTTGGACGCGCTCGGCCGTTCGACGATTGCCAATTGGAAAAATACTCCAATTCGATTACAATTTTTTTCGTCCGCTCGCACACACCGAACCGCGGAAGAATTTGAAACCGGTCTCGCCTACGACGAGAAATACATTCGTCGAGCGCGATAGGTGGGCGTGGGTAGCAAGGGGGTGGAGGCGCAGCGGGGCTGGGCGGAGGGACGTGAAACTAATATCGAGGCTGCAATCGTTTCTGAAAGCTTTTGAGAGCGCAATTTAAAACCGATCTTCCCTGTTTTCGTTCCATTTACAAAGAAAATCGGAACCCACGCCACGCGTCTACGCTCGAAAAATATTTTCCACGATCATGCGGAAGTAATTCGCGGGCTTCGTATCGGCGAAACACCGAAATTGCTGGAATCCACGTACGCGAAATTGTTGACGCAAGAAAAGAGGAGGAGGGTGAAAACGGGTTAGTTGCAAGAAGCAAGAAAATCATCTTTACCAGGAAGCAAGAAGAACGTGTGTACGAAATAAAAGGGGCTTCCACGGTGCTTGACGTTATTTACCGTCACGTAGGCATGGAAACCCGGGTTCAAAGACAAGAGACGCGTCGTTCTACAACTATTTTCTCGTACGCCACGTTTAGTACGATAGTCTAATCCTCCCCCTCCCCTCCTAAACGATTAATCCTCGTCGTTTCGAACGATAACTCGTCGCGCGAACGAGTCAAGAAAGGGATCGTTTGATCTTTAACATTGTAGAAACCGTTCGTTCGTCGAAGATTTCTCGTGTTCACGATTCGAGAAAAAAATCACAAAATAGTCACTGAATGGAAACGATTAGCAAGGATCGATTTGTAACGCGACAACAGCCAATCGTCATTTCGACGATTATTAAAATGATACATGTATCATCGAAGATTCGACTATACTATACTAGCAAGATCGCGCGCTATCGGATGAAGGGAAAGCCATCCTCGTTGCTGCCTGGTTGTTCCATGGAGGCGCGTTTAATTCGGTTTTATTAGGGGGCCAAATCGTGATCGTTAGCGCCGACACGAGGCCGGCACGAATCGCAGGTGACTGTCTGGGTTAGGCGCACCTATATCTACGGGGTGTCAAATTAGTCACGCACGCCGCCTCCGCCTAGCGGGCCGGCGATCAACGCCCGTAACCATGGATACTGCCGCGAATTTCTCCGCGCGATGACTCCGCGCCGCTTTCCGACGCAATTGCGCACGCAATGCGGAAAAAGCGTGCAGAAAATTAACGAGCTCATGCGCGAC